TTCCTCTTTGTCAGTCTTAGACAATCCTATGGGGAAGCATTGTGATTGGATCAGACTACCACTTCTGACGATGTCAGCAGACTGCTTTTTTTTATTTTGAGGCAAACAGCAGGCAGATCTACAGCTTCTGGCTTGAATACAGTAAGGTTTTTGCTAAATTTATGGAGGCATGAGGGGACCAGGGGGGCTAGATGGTGGTGTTAACACTATAGGGTCAGGAATATATGTTTGTGTTCCTCGCCCTTTAGTGACCCTCTAACCTTTTCTGTTACATAAAAATCACCAAATTTCACCAATCCCTTGAACTGAGAAAGTTAAAATTCACCAACAGGGGTTATTCACTATTTGTAGATGCTACCATTAATTCAGCTTAGGAGAGTATTTTTGCATCCTTTGCTTTGTGTTCAATTTGCATCTCTGACATTTATTGCACCAACACATATTATGTACCGTTTTTCAGAGGGCATACAGGGCTTTAATTTTATGTCACATATACATAGATAAATTCTCCTTAATTATAAAAAAAAATGCCAAAACATGGGGAAAAAACTTTTTTTTCACAGTTTTGGCAATATTAGCATTTACATAATATGTCCAGCTTAGAAAAAGTAGTTCAAAATAAATTCATTTATGTGTCTTGATTTATAGAGTACATAATATGTATAGGATTTCAGCTTATTTTGAAAGTTACAGGTCACAAAATACAAGGACTAAAATAATATTTTAATGTGAAACAATTTTAGAAGTTGGTATGTTTGTATTGTAGGTTTGGTAGCCACCACAGAAAACAAATTTGTCACACAAAAGTATATATTTATGTAAAGTAGACATCACAGGCTATTTAACTAAGGTTAGTTTGACACTTTTTACGTAACCATTTCATCGCCAATCTCTGCTAAATATTGGAGTAAAATTGTGTTTTTTCTCTATTTTTGCATATACACATATAACAAGGTTTTTGTAATATGTATTTCATAAAGCTGGTGTGTGCTATTCCTGCACAGAAGCCCATATTGTGTTCAGCTACATCTGCTGAGTATAATGATACCCCCATTGTATGCCTTTGGCACTATTCTGTGAAGCTACAATGCTATATAATAGACAAGGCTAATTCAGTTTCTATACTTAGAATTTTCCTAGATGGATTTTGTGACGGTACCAACCCCGCCACTGGGCATTGGAGGAGCCTGGTTGCTCGCCTGCTCCCTCAGGACTATGGCCCCATGTTGAAACTCTTGATTTTCCCCTGCAAAGACACGAAAGCCAGGTCATTCGGTACTTTCCCTATTTGAACAGTGATACCCCAGATAGCTATGCCATGGAGCCCATTCGTATAACGAAAGACTATGTGAAAGACTTTGGCTCCATGGCAATTGAACTGTATGTATGTGATCTGAGCGCCATTCAGTAATAATGAGCTCAGATCTAAGCTATCTGGGGATATGTTGAATGTACCTGTTTTATGCAATAGCGGCACAGTTATATATATTTATTGTCTTTTGCTACCATGTGGCTAATGGAGTTTTGCCTCTGTCCTTGGAGATAATTTGATTACTTCCCAATTATCTCCAGGATAGAAGACTCTGTGGAACCGGTTTTGGGCAGAAAAGCCATGCTTCATTTGGTCACAAAGGACTTTGATCTAACTTTTGACCCACTGGTCCAATTTGTATGATTTTGACGTATGTTTGTATTTGGAGTATGCTAATTCTGAAAATGTGATGCATAATTTTAAAGTTATGAATATTGTGTAAAACTGTGTATTTTCCTGCCTGTGATAATTATATTAACTAATTGTGTAAGGTAATTGTATCACAGGCAGAGGAGAGGATTTTGTGTGGGAGTGTCTGAGTGTATTGTACATGTTTATTGGTTGTTTTACAAAACCCTGTGGGTGGTACTAATGTGTAAGAATGTGTATATAAGAACAATAAGCCCACAGCTCTGGCTGATTCTGCTTGAACCTCAAAACGAAGTGTCGTCTCGTTATTGGGGGAATTGGATTGTATGCTGTTTCAGACCGATTGCCAAGAGTGTAAACTGTTCATATGTTTTTTCCTATTCGGCTGTTTACAGCATTCAATGTTTGAGAGCATTTGTATGCTTCTCCGTTTCAGTGGATTGGTGTCTACAGAAGCTGCCTGTATATCTGGAAGGGGAATGTAACGGACCGTTTTGCACACAAGGGGTAAAAACCGTTTAGGCGATCGGCCCCCTTTCCAGAGATACAGGCACAGCTACTGCAGAACACCAAACTCCCGAACTGGATACAAAATAGCACTCCAACTCCCGAACTGGAACCTCCCAAATAGCTGCTAGCAGACGAACAGGAAAAACAGACAATCAGCTTACACTCCTGGCAATCAGTCTCTAACAGCATACAGTGAATCCCCCCAAGAACGAGACAAGGCTCCGTGTTGAGGGTCAAGCAGTGGTCTGAGGTGCTGGCACACCCAGCCTGGTTTTTATTACAGTCTTGCAAATACAGGACCGCCCACAGGGAGGTATAAAACAACCAATCACATCACAGTTACATCCCACATATTCCCTCCCCTTATCCTGAGAGGAAACTCAATTATACATACAGTTAAAACATACTTTCTACCCAACTTTCATAACTCTAAAACCATACATCACATTCACATAAAATTACATATTCACAATCAATCCATTCAGGGGAACAACATATTAAAAATGGCACGAATCAGACCAGGGGTTCAAAAGTTAAGGGAAAGTCCTTTGTGACTAAATGAAGCATGGCTTTCCGGCCCAAACCAGTTTCAGAGTCTTCTATCCTGGAGATAAGTAATTCAATTATCTCCCAGGACAGACACAAGACTCCATTAAGCACATGGTTGCAAAAAGACACAAAACACTTTAAAATACATAAAGTCACCTTTTATACATAAAACACAGACATTTCACATATCCCCAGATAGCTCAGGTCTGAGCGCACATTATTAAGTGAATGGCGCTCAGACCACACGAATACAGTTTAATCGCCATGGAGCCAAAGTCTTTACAGTCAGTTTCATACAAATGGGCTCCATGGGATTCCTATCTGGGGTATAACACATTCAAACAAATCTACCGAACCCCAGGCAGAAAAGCACGAATTAAACTTTTCTGCAGGTAAAAAAAGATGTCTTTTAACAGGGGGCCATAGTCCAAAGGCAGCAGGCGAGCAACCAGGCTTCTCCAATGCAATGTGGCGAGATTGGTCTCGTCACAGGGAATATCTCCTAAACGGCTGTGATGCCCTTTTATGCCTGGGGGTGCCGTTACAGATTTCATAGGACTACGTCTCATTTTAGGGTATTATAGCAGTGTGACTGTTCAAATAACCCCACAAAGGGCTTTCATTTGATAAAGCAGACACCCCAGGGTATCTTATATGTGCCTTAACTTGTCACCATTTTTTCACCAATTTATGTCAATGTTTGTGGTGAGGGGGGAAAAAATTGCATTTTTACATCTATGTTGCATTTTTGCTGAGTATTTCTTACACTTGATATGTACCACTGTCATAAAACACCCCAAATTATGCTCAGTTACATCTTCTGAGTAAAATAATAGTCCCAATGTATGATCAAGGCACTATTTTGTGAAGTTACAGCGCTGTAAAAGAGACGTGACAAGTTCAGGTTTTTAAGTGTGAATTTTCAAGGAGGGTTTTGATGCGTCCATGTCCCACTTTAGAGCACTTGAGCAGGCTACATATTCCAACTACACCTTAAAGGCATACCATTTCTTAAAGAAGATATCCCAGGGTATTTCAAAAGCCATATTTAGAACTTTAGCGTGGGATAATTTTTCCGCTACCTTCTACCAAGTGTAGTGGTAATAAGCATTTTTTGGGGATTTTTGACACACAAAGTAAGTTTGCACAGTATATTTTGCAAACCGTATGTGTGCTACGACTGTATAATACTTCATATGTTGCTCAGCTACGTCGGCTGAGTACAGCAATACCCCCGTATGTACCCTTGCCAGGTATATGTGGACACTGAAGGGCACATTTGAGACATTTTTACGATGTGTCTATGTCCCATTTTAGAGTATTTTAGCAGGCTATATAGTCCAACTACACCATAAAGGCATACCATTTCTTAAAGAAGACATCCCAGGATAATTCAAAAGGCATATTTTGAACCTTAGTGTGGGATCATTTTTTCGCTAATATGTTCCAGGTGTAGTGGTAATGAACATTTTTTTATGTATTTTTTTTACTTTTTAAAACTTGTTTTAGAACTTTTTTACTTATTAATTTATTAAACTTTCGTAACTTTTTTTTTACACATTTAAAAAAAAATTATAAAATTTTTTTTTACCATTAACCCCTAACTAGCAGTAAGCAGCACTAACCGTAAATTCCCCACTTTCCCATAACTCCCTCCCATCCCAGCTAGCAAAATATATCATTTTAAAATATTTAAATTAATTAATAAAATAAAATGAACCCCTGAGGGTTAAAAAAAATATATAAAACTTAATCGTCACGGGTAAAAAAAAAAATTCGATCACAGTATAATACTGATCAACTGGCAGGGAATGGGATTAATTTTTATTTGGACTGGGTAAAGGGGGGTGGGATTTTTAAAAAAAAAAACTTTTTTCACTTCAGGGGTTTTCATCCACTATTTTTTCCCCACCACAACTTTGTTGGTATGTAAAAAAATAACTAAAAATTATATATATATATATATATATATATTACCATCCTAATAATAATAAGCACACAGAGATGTCTGTATATAGTGAGAGAGGTTATTTCTAAATATTTTAATATAATGCAGAAGTAGAGACTTTAGTATGTTATCTGATAACAAGTAACTATGGTCACATTGCATGCTGGGGGAAATGACGGTGTGCCTCGTCTAATGGGGAGGAGCGGGTCAACGCAAGACTTTTATTTATTGGCCTGTGAGGACCTCAGGCAGCATGCCCTATTCGCAGTGTGCGTGCGCGTTCCCGAGGAATAGGAGAATGCGTCGCCACGGCAACAGATTCCCGAGAGGAGGCTGTGCAGTTATTACCGAATTATACATGTCGCGCCTTTTCTGACGTCACTTCCTGCGCGCGGTCTGATTTGGACGTTGTATCAATCTCACTGGGAAGCGGAGGTAATAGCACGGGATTTGCTATTTGACTATGTTTTTAGCCCGGCGGCTGCTTCGGACAGATCTCCGGTGTCTGCCATGTAACCGGGCATTTATTTCGGAGCATTTGCCGGTGATTCAGGTCCCCCGCCAGGCCCAGCTGCTCGCAGAGAGGAGAAGCCGGCAGACTGGCAGTAAGCGCGTGGTCACCCCCCAGGCTGGGAAGCTCCTAATCAGGACCCGCAGGCAGGAGCTCAACCAGCCGGCAGGACAGACCTGCAGCCACTGGGAGCGGCCCGAGCTGGTCAGCAAGGGCTGGAAACACCGCCTATCGCGGGGAGATTACTTTATCATCGAGCGGCAGACGGCGGAGAGGCCCGGCCCGATCAAAACCTCCACTTTCCAGGCCCTGGGGCTGGACCCAGCTTTGGTTAGCGCACTCTCTGCCTCAGGAGTGAATATCCCCACGTGGGTCCAGACGCAAGCCATACCTACCCTGCTGTATGGCAAAAATCTGCTTTGTGCAGCCGAGACAGGAAGTGGAAAGACTTTGAGCTACCTCCTGCCTATCGTTAACCAGCTCTGTACTGGCAAAAACACTTCTCATGACCCTTTGAACCTAATTCTTGTACCCTCCAGGGAACTTGCCAGCCAGGTGGCATCTGTTGCCAGGAGCCTATGTACGCCTTTGGGGCTGACTGTGAGTGTAGTGGGTGGAGGACATGGCCTGGTAACAGTGGACAGACAGTTATGCAAAGGACCCATTGATATTTTGGTAGCCACTCCAGGTGCCCTGTGGAAGGCTCTGAAGAGGGACAGTGTAAGCCTGGCATCATTGAAATGTATTGTTCTGGATGAGGCAGACACTTTGTTTGACAATTCTTTCTCCAAATTGGTGGAGGATATCCTAATGCAGACTCGTATTGCTACTTGTGAAAAAGACGTGCATGGTGAGGAGAGCAAGGCCCAACTAGTGGTCGTGGGTGCCACTTTCCCCAGTGGTGTTGGTCAAGTTCTTGGCAAAATGACTGACCTAGCAACCTTTGCCACTATTAAAAGCAAGAGTCTCCATTACCTGCTGCCTCATATACAGCATAAATTCCTAAAGGTGAAGGGGGCTGACAAAGTATCAGAGTTGTTGACTATTCTTAAGAAACAGGTTGCAGAGGGGCAAGGATCAGGAGTTCTAGTTTTCTGCAATAGTTCCAGCACTGTGAACTGGCTGGGCTATATTTTAGATGATCATTGCGTTCGTCACTGGAGGCTACAGGGAAACATGCCAGCAAGCATGCGAACTGGCATCTTTGAGGCCTTTCAAAAAGGACAATCAAATGTTTTGGTTTGTACAGATGTTGTCTCTAGGGGCCTGGATAGTCTAAATGTAGAGGTCGTAGTAAATTACGACTTCCCTGCAACACTTCAGGACTACTTGCATAGAGCAGGCAGAGTTGGTCGACTTGGCAGTGAGAAACAGGGCCGTGTAGTGAGTTTTGTCACTCATGCCTGGGATGTGGAGTTGGTGCAGAAGATAGAAATGCAAACTCGCAAGAGGACTAGCCTTCTTGGCACCAAGTGTGACATCAATGATACTGTGAAACGCACTTTATAAATATTTAGATCAATAAAAAATATTGTTATTGAAAATTCTGATTTGTTTTCAAAAGTTTGTTTTATCACTGAAACATACAGTAAACATTTTCATTGCTTTATGATCCTTAAAACTGAAGTTAATTGGTCACCTAAAATAATATTTAGCAACAAAACCAAAACTTTGTCATTGGATAAAATCAATATACTTTTTTATATATATGTATGTACTTTTATAGCCTGTTCAAAGTGTTTATCATGACTCTGTATGTAACCGTTCTTTTTAAGGATCTTTGCAACCTGTTGCTGAAAATTGGACATATGTGACATTTTAGATGTGTGGTTAAAATGTTGTTTGACAACTTAAATGTGGTCTGCTGGACTCCAGACACCTCCATAAGTGCCAGAAACTCTCTACGCTTAGTGCTGTAGGGCTTTGCTCATTGGCTGACAATGATCAGCTGTCACTCTAACAGTAACTGGTCCTGCATGGTGGGGAATAGCTCAGGAGAGCTAATGAAAGCTTCGTCCAATGGGTTCCAGCAGAGAAGGTGAACAGTTGGCTCCAGTTGTCAAGCTGTTTGCAAAAACAGTAGTGCAAACACATTAAGGTGCTTGCAGTAGTCTTATAAATCCTGTATACCATGCATTCGACCACTCCATTTCATTTTCTCGGCTTCATTCTGCCGCTCCATATGTGTTTGTTCATTCTCAAAAAATCATATTTTTGGAGTTCGGTTCTCATTTAGGCACTCCAATTAATTTGTTCAGCGACATAGCAAAATTATAGGTATAGTGCATAACAGTAAATGCTATTTCATTAACCGATTTTGTTCAGTTTAATTTGGCATGAAATAAAATGTTTGTAGGGGTATAAAAAATTGTTTTTGGCCCTGTAATGGCTTTTTATGTTATTACATTTTATGAACTTATCTGGTATATGAGATTATTTCAACTTTTTTTTTTTTTTCTCTCTGCTCTTTTTTTTTTTCTCTCAATCTAATAAAACCATCTTTAAGTCATAATACAACAGAAGGTCAGCGCTAATCTACAAACAATAAAAGAGCAGGCAGCAACCCTAGCAAAGGGGATCCCTCTATACCCTTCAACAAAGCAGAAAGAAACAGTACAAGAACGGTATAGGGCTGTGCCTATATTATGGAGTATAAGTCCCAAATAAATGACACTGGAGCAGTAGAAGAAGGTCTCTTAGGTGGACTCTTCTTCCAGAGTGTTCGTGTATATATTTATATATACATAGAGAGAGAGACAAGGAGATATGCGGGCAACCAATAGTGTAATAAGTAAAATCCAAAAGGTGATATATATATATATATATATATGGTAATACACTCACAAAAAAGCTATAACCAGCTCTAGTATAGATGGCATACAGCAGCATAATCCCGTATATGGGATATGCAGGAAAAGTGCGGCCGTCTGTGCAGTGTAGTTCTTAAATGCTTTGAAAAGATAAAATGGCACCAATAGTGCTGTCAATGTGATAAACAATGGTGTAAAATAAATACAATTATACTCACAAGTCTAGAGCAGGAAACACTGCTCTATGTATAAGGCGTTTTTTGTATGATTCTCACCTCGATTGCATGGAGTACAGGAACAGTAAAATGCCAGTCAAGGATAAAATTAAAAAAGGTGTATATAAAATATAATAAAAAGAAGATTGGCACAACTGAGTGACCAAAAAAAACACTGTTTAAAATAACTATAATACGTTTCACCATATGTGGCTTCTTCAAATGGAATAAACGCAACAGCCTGGCAGACTGTTTAAATAGGGATACTGAGTAATTAAAATTTGCGCCAAAAAGAAGTTATCCCTTTCTTGTATTACATCTTTAAGTAGGGATGCACCAAAATAAAAATTCTGGTCTGAAACCCAAAAATGACTTTTTTTTTTTTTTTTAAATGATTTTAAAATGTGTTTTTTTTTTCTGTAATTATATTAATATTTGACTTTTTAATGAAGTAAACAAGCAATATAAACTCTGAATATAAAAGCAGTGCTTTAGATGGAAAAAAAACTGCTCAAAAAAATAAAGGGAACACAAAAATAACATCCTAGATCTGAATGAATTACATATTCTTCTGAAATACTTTATTTACATAGTTGAATGTGCTGACAACAAAATCACACAAAAATTAAAAAATGGAAATCAAAATTTTCAACCCATGGAGGTCTGGATTTGGAGTCACACTCAAAATTAGTGGAAAAACACACTACAGGCTGATTCAACTTTGATGTAATGTCTTTAAAACAAGTCAAAATGATGCTCAGTAGTGTGTGTGTGTGGCCTCCACGTGCCTGTATGACCTCCCTACAACGCCTGTGCATGCTCCTGATGAGGTGGCGGATGGTCTCCTGAGGGATCTCCTCCCAGACTTGAACTAAAGCATCTGCCAACTCCTGGACAGTCTGTGGTGCAATGTGATGTTGGTGGATGGAGCGAGGCATGATGTCCCAGATGTGCTCAATTGGATTCAGGTCTGGGGAACGGGCGGGCCAGTCCATATCATCAATGACTTTGTCTTGCAGGAACTGCTGACACACTCCAGCCACATGAGGTCTAGCATTGTCTTGCATTAGGAGGAACCCAGGGCCAACCGCACCAGCATATGGTCTCACAATGGGTCTGAGGATCTCATCTCGGTACCTAATGGCAGGCAGGCTACCTTTGGCGAGCACAAGGAGGGCTGTGCAGCCCGCCAAAGAAATGCCACCCCACACCATTACTGACCCACTGCCAAACTGGTCATGCTGGAGGATGTTGCAGGCAGCAGAGCGTTCTCCATGGCGTCTCCAGACTCTGTCACATGTGCTCAGTGTGAACCTTTCATCTGTGAATTTGCCAATCTTGGTGTTCTCTGGCAAATGCCAAATGTCCTGTACGGTGTTGGGCTGTAAGCACAACCCCCACCTGTGGACGTCGGGCCCTCATACCACCCTCATGGAGTCTGTTTCTGACCATTTGTGGCCTGCTGGAGGTCATTTTGCAGGGCTCTGGCAGTGCTCCTCCTGTTCCTCCTTGCACAAAGGTGGAGGTAGCGGTCCTGCTGCTGGGTTGTTGCCCTCCTACAGCCTCCTCCACGTCTCCTGATGTACTGGCCTGTCTCCTGGTAGCGCCTCCATGCTCTGGACACTACGCTGACAGACACAGCAAACCTTCTTGCCACAGCTCGCATTGGTGTGCCATCCTGGATGAGCTGCACTACCTGAGCCACTTGTGTGGGTTGTAGACTCCGTCTCATGCTACCACTAGAGTGAAAGCACCACCAGCATTCAAAAGTGACCAAAACATCAGCCAGGAAGCATAGGAACTGAGAAGTGGTCTGTAGTCACCACCTGCAGAACCACTCCTTTATTGGGGGTGTCTTGCTAATTGCCTATAATTTCCACCTGTTGTCTGTCCCATTTGCACAACAGCATGTGAAATTGATTGTCACTCGGTGTTGCTTCCTAAGTGGACAGTTTGATTTCACAGAATTGTGATTGACTTGGAGTTACATTGTATTGTTTAAGTGTCCCCTTTATTTTTTTTTAAGCAGTGTACATGAAAACCATTAAGCTCACATAGGTTGGTATGCAGTCAGAATACCAAGTACTGAGCGTGTTACTGAATGTATCCCTATAGACAAAGGGTGGCTCTGCACCCATGCAAGCAGTGCACCGTCCACAAAGTAAATAAAATAAATATATATATATATATTCTGCACATTAATGAATAACAACCAATATGTTCATTGCTTAACACAGTCATATAATGAATGAAAAGAAACAAATGTGTATATTACATACACACAAATATACTAAATATTTTTAATAATAGTACACTGTATACAGATTGGGATGGACTATGCTGGATATACAGGAAGCACTGCTGTACATGGCTCTGGGTATTCTGTTAGCACTGGATATACTTCAGGCAAAATGACATGAACACTAATGTAATCCTATGTATAGTAGCCAACACAAAATTAATTGGGAATATTGTATTTCATATTTGGTAATCCCCATGTTGGCAAAGCACTGGTTATAGCGCAAGCATTAAAAAAAAACTTTTTTATTGGAGGCTCACATGCTGTGAATTGGGAATCTGCAGGCATGTAACACTCACTGTTCGCAGCACAAGACTTTTTGGACACAGCACTGTGTATAAACAGCATGTGAGTCTTTGTACTGTATTATCATGGGCACAGCAGCAAGTATATACAGCAATACTATAATAACCCTTAGTACACAGCACTGGGTATACTCCCCCTCCTATGCCCCCATGGTGCCCTTGCTAGTTATCTTGGCTCTTTTTCTCCTGCTGGTTCTCTGGCCCTCGGTGGTCTCTGGTTGCCCCCTATCCGCCCCTGCCATGAAGCTTGGCCATAATGTTTGACCCTGGGGATGGCCAGTTCTCGGTCCTCTGGGAAGCCCTCTCTTTCTTCCGTGGGGTCCTATCCTTAGCGGCCCCGGTGTCTGGCGAGGCCATGATCCCGGAGGAAGATGATGAGGAGGATTGTAGGGGCACCCCCACCCTCCCGGCTGCCAAAGTTCTCTATCTTCTTCACGGTCAGCATGGAGGGATGTTGGAGCGGGGCACAGCCATGGCAAGCGGTGAATCCTCTGTGTGTGTGTGTGTGAAAGGTAAGCTGTCTATTTTCTGCAGATTTGCCCCTTTTTTGGCCGAAATGAGAGGCCCATTTTTGGCAGCCAAAATTTCGGTGCATTCCTATCTTTAAGTCATGGTTATATGAGTTTAGAGTCTGTCATATGTTATCAAAAATCAATAAATGGTTAATCATTGTAACTACTTCTCTTGATTATCTGTTAAGTCAGATCAAAGTCAATTTATATATTAAAAGGAGGAATATCGCTGGCCTTGTTTCACTACTTTTCCAAGGTTGTGGTATGTTGTTTTACCTCGTATGCCAAAGGGCCACATTACCTATGTCTCTGATACATTCCGTTCTTAAAAAAGTACATATAGGTAATTAATCGAATTCTATTTGTTCATAGAATTATGGCTATTTCACAGGAAAGTGTGACCCAACCGACTATTCCCGAAACAGTGACTATCCCTAGTATAAATTGGCACCCAAAACCTTTTACAAATCACCCATCACCTCACTTGGTGGAATTCCTAATTTCATGGTTTTCACATGGGTTCCACACAGGCGTAATATCTCTCCCCATAGACACCAATCTACAATCCTCTACTAACAATCCTCAGTCAGTAAACCTGCTACTAAACAAATAGAGCAAGGCTTCATCTTAGGTCCATTCTATATTCTCCCTCTTCCAGATGGAGGACCAGCCACCTTAGTATAGCCATTGGTAAATCAAACACTAAAATTGATAGTTTGATAATTGACTTCTCAGCTCCTCTTCCTTCCACCATACCCAGTATAAATTCTCTGATACCATCAGAGGATTTCGCATTGCAATATTCAAAAGAAGATGATGCACTTAAAGCTATCATCGATTCTAGACAACATAGAAACATAGAATGTGATGGCAGATAAGAACTATTCGGCCCATCTAGCCAATATTTCGAAATACTTTTAACCCCTTGACGACCGATGAACCGTCATAACGGTCTGGGGGTACTTACCTGATCGCCGTCGGTCCCCCTGGCGGCGATCAGCGCTCCTCCCAGTCCAGGGGGACTGCCTGTCTGCCCAGGCAGTCTTCCCGCGGCAGATCAGGACCCGCAGCCACGTGATCACTCGATCACGTGGCCGCAATAGGTACCTGTGTATCTGCCTGCAGGGGGACTGTCTGTGCTGACAGGCAGTCTCCCTGCAAGTGGAAAATCAGAAATAAAGTTGAATAAAATATATGATATATATACATGTATTATATCTATATGTAATATGTATATATATCTTATATACATAATGTCAATCTAAGTGTATTTTTATATTTATATATACGTATGTTAATATAAAAATACACTTATAATTAAATTAAACACGTGTGTATATATATATATATATATATATATAATAACTATATATATTGTGTGTGTGTGTGTGTGTGTGTGTGTGTGTATATATATATTATAAATAATATATTAAAGGACCACTATAGTGCCAGGAAAACATACTAGTTTTCCTGGCACTATAGTGCCCTGAGGGTGCCCCCTCCCGCCCTGCTCTGGAAGGGGGAAAGGGGTTAAAACTTACCTTTTTCCAGCGCTGGGTGGAGAGCTCTCCTCCTCCGATCCTCCTCTTCTCCTCCCCGTCGGCTGAATGCGCGCGCATTCAGCCGGTCACATAGGAAAGCATTCATAATACTTTCCTATGGACGCTTGCGTGCTCTCACTGTGATTTTCACAGTGAGAAGCACGCAAGCGCCTCTAGCAGCTGTCAATGAGACAGTCGCTAGAGGAAATAGGGGAAGGCTTAACCCATTCATAAGCATAGCAGTTTATGAAAAAATGGGTTAACCCTAGCTGGACCAGGCACCCAGACCACTTCATTAAGCTGAAGTGGTCTGGGTGCCTAGAGTGGTCCTTTAATAAAATAAATAAAAAAAGTAAAAATAATTTTTATAATTAAAAAATGATATATATATATATATATATAATTTTATTCTAACAGTATTTTGATTTTAATATATTTATATCAAAATACACTTAGAATGTAATGATATATATATCTATGTATAAATAAAAATTATACGAAATATACATATGTCCATATACATAATTACATAAATAATTTCATAAATATACACGTAGACGTCAAATATATAAATATTTATATATATTCAAATTCAACATGAATATTTATGTAATATTTTTACCTAATTAAGTAATTTTAATGATTGCAATTTGAGGGACATGCCTGACAACCCAGCCCGAAAGTCCAGAGAATTTAATTTGCTAGCACTGTGTTTAACCCTGTAACTTTCTATGACATCCTAAAACCTGTACATGGGGGTACTGTTTTACTCGGTAGACTTCACTGAACACAAATATTAGTGTTTCAAAACAGTAAAACATATCACAGCGATGATATTGTCAGTGAAAGTGAAGTTTTTTTGCATTTTTCAAACACAAATGGCACTTTCACTGATGATATTATTGCTGTGATACATTTTACTGTTCTGATATACAATATTTGTGTTCAGCGAAGTCTCCTGAGTATAACAGTAACCCACATGTAGAGGTTTTATAGTGTTTGTGAAAGTTACAGGGGCAAATATAAGGCTTGATTTTACTTTTTTTTTTTTTTTCAGATTGGTTAGGTTGCCTTTAAGAGCGTATGGTAGCCCAGGAATGAGAATTACTCCCATGATGGCATACCATTTGCAAAATAAAAAAATCCAAGGTATTGCAAATGGGGTATGTTCAGCCTTTTTTAGTAGCCACTTAGTCACAAACACTGGCCAAAGTTAGCGTTTTTTGCATTTTTAACACACAAACAAATATAAATGCTAACTTTGGCCAGTGTTTGTGACTAGGTGGCTACTAAAAAAGACTGGACATACCCCATATTGAATACCCTGGGTTGTCTACTTTAAAAAAATATGTACATGTTAGGTGTGATTCGGGGATTTATGACATATAACGGTGTTACAATGTCACTATTGATAAATTTAAAATATATATATATATTGAAACAGCAATTTCCTACTTGTATTTATAGGCCTATAACTTGCAAAAAAAAGCAATAAAGCATGTAAACACTGGGTGTTTTTAAACTGGGGACAAATTTTGAATCCGTTTAGCAGTTTTTTCATTAGCTTTTGTAAATAAGTAAAAGATTTTTCAAGTAAAAGTCCGAAAACATGTTTTCTTTTTTTCAATTTTTCACCATATATTTTTGTTTTTTAAATAAAATATATGACATGATACAAATAATGGTATGTAAAGAAAGCCCTTCTTGTCCTGAAAAAAAAATATATAACTTGTATGGGAACCGCAAATGAGAGAGGGGAATTTTCTCACCGGGGCCCCATGGGTCATGTGTACGCCACTGCCTCCAAGCTATACATGTAAAGATCCTTTAACCTTTCCTGGTACGTTTTATCTTGCAATCCAGTTTAGTAGCCTTTCTCTGAACTCTTTCTAGAGTATCAATATCCTTCTGAAGATACATCTCCAGTACTATGTACAATACTGTCAGTATATTTATAGTGGCAGACATTTTGTGTTAAGACAGAAATTAAAAGTGTATACTGTAAGTCACCATCAGAACAGAAGTGACTCCATTTTGTATTACAATGCTAAGGCAGACACAAAATATTTCTATCTGTAACTATATTCATTTAATTCTGAGCTAAGGAATGCAACTTATGTAAACAAGACAAGAGATAAGACATGATGTCTACAGAGAAAAAAAAATAAAAAATAAAAAATATATATATATATATATATATAAATATATACACTATCCACATTTAACTTACTATTATTATATTAATCATATATAATTAGTACTATGTTAATAATATAGAATATTCATGAATATAATATCAATGAAGAAATGTCATATTATTTACTAATGTTAGTGTAATATGTGTAATCTATTTTTTTTTTTCAATTCTTTATTTTTGATAGTGCAAATGAGTACAAACATGCTTGCAGCGCCCCAATAGCGAGTGCAAGCAATTCAGAAGCAATCTTTGGCATAGCTAAGACTTTGCATATTTTTAGGTAACATAGATAACAAACTTTGTCGTGGCTAAGACTTTGCACATTTTTAGTTAAAATAGATAACAAACTTTGGCATAGCTAAGACTTTGCACGTTTATAGTTAATGTAGATAAACTTTGTCCATGGCTAAGACTTTGCACATTTTGTAGTTAAATAGAAAACAAACTTTGGTATAGCTAAGACTTTGCAAATTTTTTGTTAAAATAGATAAACTTTGTCATGGCTAAGACTTTGCACATTTTTAGTTAAACAGAAAACAAACTGTGGCATCGCTAAGACTTTGCGCATTTTTGTTATTGTGGAAATCAGGCTAGTCATTTTCAGCTTGGTGAGAAGGGGAGAGAAGTACAGGTACACGTTATGAAGGGAGTTGGTGGTAAGATCGAAAGGGTGGGTGAGTGATGTGTACTTAAAAGGTTGCATAAAATAATGGCCTCAAGGGGACCATTTGGTCTCTGTTATGTGGCACTCTGAGCTATTTGGTGTGCACTGGTAAAAGTTAGTGCCATGACGTGAAGTATACCCCACTATGTGATCAGGTGGCTGTTCCTGGAGGTTGTGTGTTTAGTTGGTAGTGGTTAATGCTGTGGTGTGATATGCCTTCCCTACTGTTGTAATGGTGGTGGATGTGTAGTGTGGCAAGGGTCTGGTTACCAGGTGCATAGTGTGCCCATCTAGTTGCCGCTGGGGGGTTTATGAATCTCGTGTCTGTTTATGGTAGACGGGGCGGAGGGGGGGAGGTGAGGGAGGAGAGGTTTTTTTTACAGGCTGGGTGGCCGAGGTATGTGTGCAGGGCCGGACTGGGAAAAAAATTAGGCCCGGGCATTTTTCAATTAGAGCGGCCCCCAAGAAGGGGGCGGGGCCAGAGAGGGTGTGTTTTGTCATCATTAATGACAAGATAGCCCCCTCTCAAAGTGAGCATGTTGGTTCAATGCGCAGAGCCCCGCCGAAGAGCTCTAGCATTAGAAAAAGGCCCTGTATTTGTTCTGCGCAGCGCAAGCAAATGTAATAACATGCTTGCGCTGTGTTTGCTTTTAAATTGTCTCTGGTGTCTCCACAAGTGGGATACCAGAGGACAAAAGGGCTAGGAATGTGTATGTTGCATGTGTTTGGCGCATGCTTGTGGGATTGCCTGTGTGTAGAGTGTGGTGTGATATTGTGTAAATAGGTCAATTTTGTGGTGTAATATGTGTGGCTAGGGGCTGTAGAGAGTGCGTGTATAGGGGCATAATGTTATAGGGTATGTAGCGAGTGTGTGCATACGGGCAGTAGTGTGTGTGTATAGGTGACGTAGTGTGTGTAGGGGTTGTAGAGAGGGTGTGTTTAGAGAATGTTGTATGTGTTTGCTTACAAGGAATGTAGTGTGTGTGTAGGTGGTGCAATGTGTGTGTAAGAGATCTAGTGTGTAAAGGACCCAGAGTGTGTATAGAAGATTGTGTGTGTGTGTGTGTGTGTGTGTTTGTGTAGAGGATTAAGAGTGCATATAGGGTAAGGGATGTAATGTGTATCTGGAGCGTAATGTGTGTAGTGGTGCAGTGTGAGGGGTGCTGTAGTGTGTGTGTGTGTGTATATATATATATATATATATAATATATTTGGACGTATTGTATGTGTGAGGTGCGCAGTGTGTTTGTGTAAGAGGGGTGCTGTGTGTGAGGGTGTTTTTATCTGCCGTCACATTCTAGGTTTCTAATTTTTTTTGTCTGTTAACTCACTGAGGGTTATTTTATAATAAATATATATATATATATATATATATATATGTGTGTGTGTGTGTGTGTGTGTGTGCTCTATATGTGTGGGAGTGAGGGTGCTGTCTGTCTGAGGGATTGGTGTGTGTCTGGGGGTGCTGTGTGTGTCTGGGGATGCTGGGGGTGCTATGTGTGTCTGTGTGTGCTGTGTGTGTGTCTGGGGGTGCTGTGTGTGTGTCTGGGGGTGCTGTGTGTGTGTCTGCGTGTGCTGTGTGTGTATCTGGTGGTGCTGGTGTCTGTGTGTGTGTGTGTCTGGGGTGCTGTGTGTGTGTCTGGAGGTGCTGTGTGTGTCTGTGTGTGTGTGTCTGGGGTGCTGTGTGTCTGTGTGTGTGTGTCTGCTGTGTGTGTGTCTGGGGGTGCTGTGTGTGTCTGTGTGTGTGTGTGTCTGGGGTGCTGTGTGTGTGTCTGGGGGTGCTGTGTGTGTCTGCGTGTGCTGTGTGTGTGTCTGCGTGTACTGTGTGTGTGTCTGGGGGTGCTGTGTGTGTGTCTGGTGGTGCTGTGTGTGTCTGCGTGTGCTGTGTGTGTGTCTTGGGGTGCTGTGTGTGTGGCTGGGGGTGCTGTGTGTGTCTGCATGTGCTGTGTGTGTGTCTGGTGGTGCTGTGTGTGTGTCTGGGGGTGCTGTGTGTGTCTGCGTGTGCTGTGTGTGTGTCTGCGTGTGCTGTGTGTGTATCTGGGGGTGCTGTGTGTGTGTCTGGTGGTGCTGTGTGTGTGTGTGTCTGGGGGTGCCTGGGGCTGCTGTGTGTGTGAGGGGGCTGTTAGGGAATTTATTTAAAATATTTGTTTTTATTATTAATAATTAAAATAAAAATAGTTATGTCCCCCCCCCTCCCTTCTTACCTTTATCCTGGGAGGGGGGGGGGGAGATCCGTTCTGCCTGGGAGGGGGGAAGCCGTGTTGCCGTGGAGGGGGGCTGTACTGCCATCCTTCCCTGGTGGTCCAGTGGTGAGAGTGAACTTTAGCCTGCAGGCTAGAGTTCACTCTCGCGAGATCTGTAACCGCGGCAACGCTCAGAATCCCGCGAGAGGACCCGGCGGAGCTGCTGGTTAGAGCTCCGCCGGGTCCTCCCTCCCCAGCCTGCTGGCGGCTGCCTGTAACTGCCTGTGGGCCAGTGAGGGAAATCTTTGATCTCCCTACTGGCCCATGGGGGCACATAGCAGGGCTGGCGCTTGGGTAGCGCTGGCCCTGCAGGGGCTGACAGGGGAGATCCTGTGATCTCCCCTGCCGGCCTCGGCCCCACGGCCATCGCGGCCCACCAGGCATTTGCCCGGTATGCCCGATGGCCAGTCCGGGCCTGTATGTGTGCATGGTATACAGTGAACTGGCTGCAATCTTTTGTGTGGATACAGTAATAGTATAAGATTTAGGTTGTGGTAAGCCTAATCAGCAGGACATGCAAACCAAGTAAATGATTGTAACACTGGAAGAGTCTTAAGGGGTTAACACTGTTTGGGTTTGGTCAGACAGTCCCGGTCAAGGAGTTGGTATGGATGTTATTGCCCCTGAGGGCTTCATGTTGTGTCATCAGCGGGGGAACCGTAACTGGGCCGTTGCGGGACAAAGTTTTCACCCTTGCCGGGTCCCATGTGTGCCGCGGTTTGGAGGCTCCGGAGTGAGCCGTGGGGCGCATAGCCTTCTGGGGTAGTCCCAGTGTAGGAAGTAAGTCCTCCGCTCCCTGCATGTCGAGGACCTCATGTGTGTTCTCGCCGTGTATCACCAACAGGGAGTGGTTGAGACGCCACCTGTACCTCGTTCAGTGCTGTGAATGGCCTAAACGACCTCCTCCAGGCCAAGGTGCTGCAGGACAAGTCTGCAAAAAAGAGAGCGACGTGGATTCAAAAGGGTACTCGGCATGGTTTTTAACCGCTGCCATAGTTGCAGTTCTGTCCTCCCTTCTCTGAAAACGGAGTATGGTGTCTCTGGTGGCCGCCGCTGGGGCCTTGGCAGGTTTGGGGACCCTGTAGATGCCATCCAGTCTTATCGTTTTGGCTTGCTTTTGTGGTCTTCGCACAAAGTGCGGCAATTCTTCCGACGGCATATCATCAGGGAGTCTCCGTATCTTCAGATTAGTCGCTCTGCGTGCGTCCTCCATTGTGGCGAATCGCCGTTCAATGCTCTCCACTTTACTTTGCAGGTTCTGTATCTCCCGCTGCATGGAGCTGATGTGAGCTGCTGTGTCTGTGGAGGCGTTTTCCAGGGTGGTCAGCTTCCCGGTTATTCCCTGGAGGTCCGTGCAGAGTCCCGCCATTTCTGCCTGGAGTGTGTACTGGAGACCTGCCAGCCGCTCCTTGAGCACTGCTGTCGTGACAGGCGCATTGTCTGGGTCCGGAGGTTTGGTAGTCATTACCGGGCAGACAGGAGAGTCGTGTGCGTCCTCTCCCTGAGAGAAATTGTCCGACAGGTCGGAGTAAGTAGCTGGGTAGTCAACCATTTTGGGCCCTGTCGCTTCATAAGCCTGCTTCCACATGGCTCCAATGTCCAGACCCATTCTCGGTTGGTCGGGCTTTTGCTTCTTATTCTTGCGGCCCATGCTGGTTCTGCTTCTGTATCACAGTTTTTTGGCTGTTTTGGTCGGTTGATTTCGGTCAGATTAGGGTAATTTTAGTGGAAATCGCAGAAGCTGTAGTGCCATGCGACCACTCTGCTCTGTAGCTTGGCTCCGCCCCCCCGGAATATGTGTATTCTTAACTATAGTTTCACATAAGAAAACCAAACAGGATCACCAATGACAGATAACACTAAGTAATTAATTTTACTTTTAAAAAAGTTCCATTGTAAGGAAGGGTGAAATTACGGCTACATGTGTCAGAGGTTGTTTCTGTATTATTTTTTAATATACTTTGCTGTATGTTCTTGCTGTGAACGCCGCACGAAATACACATTATTTTCTAGTTGTATTTAAAATACCGATTGACTGTAGGGGAATAAACTACCGAATGACCGGGGCTCCCGAACGGCCTGGAAGTCCAGCGGTATTCGTGCCGTTGAGTAGCCGGTCTTAGTTCCAGGCGCTCTGCGATCAAATACTGCTGGGCTAACAAAGGATCCAAGATGGCCGACCGCTGTGTGGTCGGTAGCCGAACGACGGCCACCTAGGAAAGCTCTTAACTACCGATTGCAACAATGTTGCAATCAGTTAATGGGTGCCACACGACCTCCTGTGTGTGGTCTCCCATTCGGTAGTTTATTCGTTTCACGAACAGTGTTGAAATTCACTGTTCGTAAAACTACTGTATGAATGCTGGTGGCTTTCATGCCGCCAGCATACGAATGCTCTTGTTCACCTGCAATACAGATACCTGAATACACTTGGTTCTAAACACATTTATGCAAATACAGTCATAAGTGGCTAGTTTTGCCACAACCAGCAATGGCTTTATACGGAAGTCACCGCTGGCATTCCCACCCAAAAGAAGGGTCAGCCTGTCTTTCGCCACTTTAAAGCCCGGTGCTCTCTTCTGCTCCCTGGAGATGAACGTGCGGCTTGGCATCCACTTCCAGAAGAGCCCGGTCTCATCCACATTGAAGACAACCTCCGGTGGATAGCTCCCTCTATCCACCACGTCCTTTAAAGAGCCTGGAAAAGCTGCAGCAGCTCCAGTGTCTGCACTTGCCGCTTCACCGGTGATCTTAAGGTTGTAGAGGTTGTACCTTTTCTTAAAGCGGTCAAACCAACCTCTACTTGCTGCAAAACTCTCCATCACATCTGGATCTTGACTCTGTATG